TTACACCCAAGTATTTGTTTCTCTATGAACATCAACAGCTGTCCTCGTTTCGTCATTGACGACTGATGATTTTCCACGACAAAACGGCTTATCACCAACAGAATTTTGGGACGAGTCCTTTTTGAATCTGACTCCAACACACAAACAAGGTTTTCTATCAGATGTTCTATAGTGATTTTCCAAGCGTAGCTTAGATGTGGCACAAGGCCGAAAGTATGGGGCACCCAGTGAGGATCGAACTCACTACTCAAGCGTAATTGTTCTAGTGAGACAAGCTTGCCCCTATCAGATGTTCTATATCCTTGTTTGCCAACCAGTCTACCATAGAAATAAACGCAGCCTACCGCGGAAAATGTTCAACCTCGTCAGTCATAAATCGAAACATACATGATTGCCTAACCATTTATGACTTATGGCAGGTGAGTAATAACCTTCTGTGTGCCGTATCGCTAAAAGACGTCCGCAGTCATGGTTCTCCACAACTTCCTATCGTTCCTAGTACTAAGCTATGTTACTACTCCCTCAGTTCATGTTTTTCTGCCCATTTACACAATTTGGTTAGGTAGGCTATTCGCTCTTTCCGTCGCCCCACTTAATAATAGTAATAAAAAATTATTCAATCAATTTTATATATGCTTAAATAAGTTCAACTATTACTCGACGTATTGATATATATATTAGTAAAGAAGCAACATTAAATATTATAATATTCCAAATTATGGCATATTTTTTTTACCAAGGATAACTGCTTTAACGGTCAAATTAAAATCCTTCAATAAATATTATATGAATAATAATAATAATAATAACAACACCAACAACAGGACAATCAAAGCTAATCGCCCAGAACTGTCATTAGAGACCGCAAAAGCAAAATGTGCCTTCTTATTGACATGGTTGTCCGTGCAGACTGTAAGGTATTTTTGAAGATTTTCAAAAACTATCAAACTAAAAGGACCTTGAAATCGAAATCTCAAAAATGTGTCAAATGAGGACATCAGTAATTCCAGTTGTAGTTGGAGCACGCGGATTGTTTGGAAAAGATTCCAATAGACATATTCAAGGGATTTCTGGTAGCCCATGCCTTAAAGAAAAACAAAAACTCTTCTCAAAATTATAACCCACACTTTATGAAGGGGCTTATCGATGAAAAATATGTATGATCTCAGGTGTGATTTTTTTGTTTTTTGTTTTTCTCCTCAAAGAATGGTCAGTGAAAAATGTCATGATGTCATTTCTGATCTTAGGTCGCTGGTTGGGACCCGGAAATAAATGTGTATACACCAAAGGAAATGAAAAAATAATAATAATAGTATTGGTAGTATTCTGATATACACTTATATAAAATGATGAATATATTTAACTTTGTATCACAGTGTCACTTTGTTGGTATACAGCTCTCAGACACAGCAATAAAATTAATAATACAAAGACAAAATATTATACAGGTTTAGCATATACCCATGTGAAAATTAATTAAAACAAAACGAACAATTACGTTATTATTTACTATTTTTTTATCCAATGAAATATGACCCAGTGCATCCATTTTAAAACAACAGCTTTAGTTTCCTTTCTTTCAACATATGGTCAGTTGGAGTGACAATGTGTAAACGATTTCTGTTTTTCTTCAGATTAAGCCATTTACCGTGGTGTGCAGTAATATGAATCTATTTTCCGGGTGTATGGTGAAATTTTTTTGGCCTTGAAAAATATTGAGTCATACGTGATTGCATCAGATTTTAATCACGCCCACACACTACTGTCTCGGCTGTCGATTAGTTGTCCTACGGCCATTGTCTGCGGTGGACGTTACTCCAAGGAAGCGTACGAAAATTCGTAACGCTGCACGCACACACTGGCAAGCCTTACCAGTGAGCAAATCAAAGTACTATAGACTGGCCCGGAAACTCTCCTGATTTAAATCCAGTCGAGAATATGTAGCCAATCTGCAAGAAATAACTTCGTGGAATGGACATATGAAATACTAACATGGGCACTGGGTCATGTTTCATTAGAAAAATACGAAAAAAAAGTAAATAATAACGGAATTATTCGTGTTGTTTCAATTAATTTGCACAAGGGTGTATATATCTGTTCATATCTTGCAGTTAAAAACAAGTAATCTTGACCATATACAAGTCCAAGAATATACAAAACTGAAAAAAGAAAGCGGTTCGTAGTACATTTCAATCACAACTACTAATGTATGCATAATATAAATATTTATTACTTTTTTATGCACATCAGTAGCAAAGAGTTGAAGTATTTACCATTAAAGTGCATTTTGCAGATATTTGATTTCATATTAGCTCCATTTAATTGCTATTTTATATTTGGTTAATATATTCTTTCGCATCTAATGTTTCCCGAGCTCACGAAAGTCAACTCTGACATGCTTCATAATGAAGCGAAACTGGTTGAATGCAAATGATGAATAGACGATGTTGTTTTTATTAGTACAAAAAAGATTATCGTAAAACATATAAATACAAAGAAGGTGGAGAAGCCGTGAAAAGAAAACTGGTGCTTTTTTTTTACTGCACACTAGATAATTTAACAAATCTTCTATTGAACGAAGTCCTGATAGTTACATCGTTGTAATGAAATCTATGTAAGGAAGAGCTGTCAGTTTTGTACTCTAGCTCACAACGTTCGTTTACTCAGCTATGTCTTGTACTTTACCTGACCAATAGCAATCCTTTGTCAAACTTAATTCTAAAATATCCCTTGCACACAACTTCCATATCGTTTATGTCTCTGGAGACCCACTGTCGAATCCAGTTTTTCAACTTTCACCAGAAAGATTCGAGTCAGGTGATCGACAAGGCCACTTAAGCGACGTATATTTTCAAGTTACATTAGATGTATTCTTCGAATGGGTACTTTTTGAAAATTCCAACTCTATTTACAATTAGTTTAAACTCTCAGAAGTTATTCCTGGATGAGCCGTAAAGCAAGTCGAATTGTAATAATAGTTCTTTCCGACTACAGATGGAGACGTAAGTTCGATCCCAAACGGAGAACACATTCATTTCTTTTTATTAAGATTTCTTGAATGTGCAGGCCGATAGACGCAATACACTCTGTTTAATCAATACAAAAAAATGAGGCGTCTACTTCAAGTAAGAAGTGTCCACTATAATATGTTTTTATATTATTTATATTTTTATATTTTTATAGCATATAGATTCTTTCCAACTACAAGCAACTATTGATTAGTTTTATTAAAACGTGTCATTAACCTGGAAATTTTAATGAATCTCTTTATGTGTTCAATGCAACTTGATTGTTTGTTTGTTTCTGTGTGTGTATGTGTGCGCACGCGCGTGCGAGCGATTCTGTGTACTTATCTACCACTCTACGTAAGTAGGATGAAACACTACGTTTTTAATGAGGGGTATCCATACGCGTACATATGGGGCCAGGACAGATATTGCTAAGTTCCCGTGATAATTCTCGATATTCCAACAACCCACTCTCTTTTAGTATAATGAGGGAAGGGTTCTTGCAGGGTTGGGAGCAGGTGACTTTTTCATTGATTAATGAGGAGAACAGATACTACACATTGATGAAAGGGACTGAAGAAAAGCTTAAGTCCAGTTGTGCTGCTCGATCAATGAATACTGAATGTTTCCTCATAAGGAAACACCTAATATTACCATTATTATGAAATATTTTGGAAGCGGACAGAACGCCTGAATAAAAAATATATGATATGTGAGATTGGGCTGAGAAAAATCAGGCGAGAGATAAAAGGCCAAGAGAGTTAAAAAGAAAAAATATATAATTTTTGGACAGAAGCAAAGATCAGATAAGGAAAGAAAGATGAAAGAAAAGAAAGAGGAGAAAGTGTGAGGATCAGAGGACAAAGAGAGAAGGAAGAGAAGAATGGGGGATAGAAAGAGATACAGAGTGCAAACGAAAGAAAGAAGTGACTTGATAAAATATAAATGAAGGATGGAAAAGTCGAAAAAATAAGACAAAGAGAGAAAGAATGAAGAAGGGGTAGAAAGAGAAACTGAGAAAGTGATTACTAAAATTACACGGAAAATAACAAGGAGATCAGAATAGAACAGAAGGGAATCGGGAAAGAAAAGAAGAAAAAAACAGGGAAAAGGAAATTATGAAAAGAGACAGAGAGGGAGTGAAAAGCTGAAAAGAGAACGAAGAAGAAAATGATTTATAAAAGGAAAGGAGAGGAAAAATGTGGGCAAGAAAGAGAATGAAATGATGGTGAGCAATGAGTGAGAGGAATAAAGAAGAAAGTCGAAAAGAAAGAAGGGAAGATTAATGGAATGTCAAAAGAGAAGGATAAAAATAGAGAAAAATTGAAAAGAAAGAGACGTAATAGAAGGAAAATAAGAGAGATTGAATGGAAAACGGCATCGGAAGAGTGAAGGATGAATCAGAGGAATGAGAGAGAGAGACAGAGAGAGTTTGAGAATGAGAGAGAGAGAGTTTGAGAATGAGAGAGAGAGAGATTTTGAGAAAGAGAGAGAGAGAAAGAGTTTGAGAATGAGAGAGAGAGAGAGAGAGAGAGAGAGAGGGTATAAACAGAAAATCTGAAGTGGAACGGTGTCATTCATTCATAATTATGCCTTAATTTCTTGTGGATCATAGGGCCGTAACAACACCTCTCCAACGGACGGGGTTCCGGCTGGTCTTCTTCAGCTCGGCCTATGTTGTGCCGGCTGCCTTCCCGGGATATTTTCACCAGCACACGTCATACGCTCCCCACTGGAGGACACTTCCACGGCCATGATGTTTTTTGAAGATACCGTTGAAGTGTCTTTAACAAGCTAATTTTTAAGTGAGGACGTTGTTAGCCTACTGCACAACCTGGAGGACCTGGGTGTGTCTTTCGTCTGGTTCCTACTCTACAGACCTGTTGAGCTCGCTGGACCTGCTAAGGGCCGAAGCCTCCGCTCACATAGCTCTGAAGGGGGGGGGTCGTCGAGGCACGCAAGCTGTCCTACCACGTCAAGGCAACACACCATCAAGGGTTGTCATATTTGGCTTCAAGTTTCAGATTGGGCAACATAAACTGCTAATAAATTTTGATTTTTCATCTCATTTTTAGCTTAATCTATAAGTAGCACAACGTTTTAAAATTCAAAATTTATTAGGGTTCGACTTTGCAAACTAGATCCCAAAATTCGAAAGCAAAGGAATTTAAATTTAGTCTGGCGATTCTGTTCTTTCGTCTTTATTACATCAAATTTTATGTGCAGAAAAAATATTTTTATTGGTATTAAATATTCAAATGGACAGAATTTATTTCTTAAGCACACAAGCAGGCGTGTAGATAAGGGGTTGGAAGAATAGTAGCCAATATCTTTCAAAACATGCGGTGCATATAATCACAGATCAAACAAATACTTGTTTTTCTCCAGTAATAGCCAGAACTGCTACACTGGTTCAGATGTAATAAATGCATCTAAAAGTGAAACTCTATCACTCTTATAAACAAAGGAATGATGTTGATAGTTGAAAAAGAAAGAGAATAGAATATATTTAATTTTCAAATAATTTTCTTACTTGTCTTCGAAATTAACTTAGTTTATTTTAAAATTAGATCCAAAATATTCAGTAGCGAAGTGCAAACTTTACCAACAATGAGCTTTCAAGAATTGCTAAATCTGGCAGCCATGGAGGGGATAGGGTTAAATAAAGAAAGAGAGAAAAAAGTAAGTTTTGAAAAGAGAGAGAGGGGGAGAAAGAGAAAGAGAGAGGGGGAGAAAGAGAAAGAGAGAGGGGGAGAGAGTGGGGCTGAAGAGAGGGAGAGATTTGTAGAGGAGGGAAAAGAAAATATGAACGACGCAAGATGAAAGACAGTAGCCATAACAAAGAACATAAAACGGGTATAAAATGGGTATAACAGTCTGCTCATGTTGAATCCAAGAAAATGAATAAAACGTTAATGACGACGTAAAACACCAACACATTCATCTATGTGCAAAAACAAATCCCTCACGTACAAAGACAAGTGCTCCACACGCACACAGTAGCATAAGAAATTGTACACAAGGATACAAACAAACAAAGACTCACATACACAAACCCAGGCGTGCACACACAGGTTTTTTCACAACCATTCACGAAAATATAAACGCACAGAGACATCTACAAACATGTATACACACTCTTGAATGAAAAAAAAAACGCAAAGATGAAACTTGCAGAAGCAACTAATGACAAGACGGCGTGAGCAGTTGCGATGAATAAGAATTATAATATAAACATGAAATAAATATAAGTCAAGAAGTATATATATATATATATATATATATATATATATATATATATATATATATATGAAAATACGGTTTTAAAAAGTATGGTATATTTATGGGCTAAAGTGCTCAAAATCATGGATAGAGCGTATGAGAAGAGATAAAGGGACAATGGTATCAACACAGAACAGCGACAGTCCGTGTTATGCTGAACGCATGAGCTGAAGATGGCATTTAAGCCTGTAACAAACTAACACTGCTGGGTGTTGACTTCAGTGTCCACTTATATATATATATATATATATATATATATATATATATATATATATATATTAAAGGAATATTCATATTGGCACTTTACAAATGCACCCTACCTGAAATTTTACACACATACACACATACACACACACACACGCGGGGCATACACACACACACACTGATATATATATATATATATATATATATATATATATATATATATATATATATATATATATATACATCTCGCCAATTCCTGTCTATCAAATACTTTTTTAATTTAAAAAAATCCGAATTAGTCGTTTTATGTTTTCTGTCAATTTACCAAATTTTATATTTTTCCGAGTATTTTCGAATGTTGCTCCATTCATTTCAAAGGATTTTTCTGTTTATATTTACGCAACTGTTATGTAACGGGATACTCGTGTTTGATTGAACCAATTTCAGGTCACTCATGGTAACATTATTTAAAAGGTCAAACTTGAATTTTAATGTGTATTTTCTTAAACACTTCAATATACGGCGCCCTCTGAAGAAACATACCTTATTTATTTCCCTTCCAAATATATACATGAAATCGTTTTTAACTGCAGACATCCGTGAACTCCCGCATCTTCTTTATTAAAATGATAGTACGGAGTTGCTATCCACAAAGTATAAATGTTAAATAATTTTTATTTCAGTTTAGATATACAGATTAATTTAAATCCAAAACCAGTCATTTAGTCCGACACTTTTTATGTGTACTTGTAAAATCTGCGATAGCTATGACATGTACGATTAGCCTCAAAACATTCCCAGTCTGTGCCGTCTCTTCAATTCACTCTTCCGACTGGGAAAGAAAATCTCCACCCTCGCACAAGGGGGTCATGGTTGCCCAAGCAGTGGTGGTGGGCCTCTACACCACAAACACCGGCATCGTTGATGTGAAATAAAAACACGATAAAGAAGAATTACTAACGTTCTTCCACATTGATTTGTGGTGTCTAAGTATTTTATCTGCTTCTTTTATTTTCCGTTTTTCTTTTCTCTATTAATCTCACTCTTTTCGTTTCTTTTTTGTGGGTGAGAGCGGATTTTCGTTTAGAGATTTTGCTTGGTCAGAATTTCGTTTTTTGCTTGTCATTTTCATTCTCATTTTATTGAACTGAGATAGTGTTTCAAATAATCAAGTCTTTAATTTTGTTTCGACATAATGCCGTTAAATGATTTTTACGCAAGTGTAATATTTATTTCTCTTATTTTCATACTATTGTTCAACTAGTAAAAGACCCAAGATCCACTCAAAGCAGAGGGTTACTGCATGAGGTTGCTGTAAGAACAGGATATAGAAAAGGCATATTATGAAGATATATAGGAGAGATTGCGTTTGACCTTAGATTTCAAGAGGCAGTGATTGCGGAAGTTTCTTCTCAAGTGTCTGTTCCATAACACACACACACATGCACACACACACAAACATACAGAAATACATACATATATTTTTTAAAGAAAAAAGAGAAACTTAATTAAGTCCTTTTAATAATATGTGGAAATAATCACTCGTTGCCTGATGAAGGTCGCAAGACCGGAAACCCGTGTAACAAAAATATAGAAAATAAAGTATAATAAATATTTTTTATAATCCACATAATAAAAAAAACGTTTGTGGTTTATCTCTTTAAAATATACATTTTTCTCTCGTTAGAACAACTATAACCTCTTCATTATATATATATATATATATATATATATATATATATATATATAGTGTCTCACGCCTTCTTGATCTCACGTTTTCCAATGACTTGACGTAGAACAACTACATTGAATCAATAGATGCATCTTCTGCAAGGAATGTCGGTTCACTGTATCGTAGCAGAAGGTATTTCTCGTGAGGGTCCATCTTCCACATCTGCAAATCTACAAGTCGTTCATACATTGAATAGTCTTCGTATATCTAGTCTGGTGTCCAAAGAAGGATTTGCAGTGTCATCAGCCCTGACTTGACATCTCGACATCAGTCACTTCTCCATAGACGTGATGTGGCTTCACTCTGTCTTTTCTACAAATATTTTCATGGCAACCGTTTTTGACGAGCTATCTTCACTTATGGCCGACTACATGAGTTTAAGTGTGCTACTAGATTGACATCTAGGCCCTACTCTTTTACTGTTGAAATAGTTAAATGTTACCGCCACTTCTACTCCAGCATTTTATTTTTCTCCCACTTCCCGACAGTTGAACTCCCTTCCTCTTACTCGCTTCCCTGAATACAACAATCTTCAAATATTGAAATGCATCTTTAATCGTCATCTTCTCTTGTTTTGATCCCAGTTTTTCTTTTAACCTTTCCTCAATTACTTCTAGATACATTCTGTTTCCTAACCATCACTCTCTGTAATCCCACCACCACCACCACACTGCGTGTTAGTGGCACTCCCGTCTTACTGAGGTGAAATGCTTAACACACACACAGATATATATATATATATATATATATAATAATAAGTAGGAGGATTTGATAAACATATAAATAATTTCATTGAGTCTGATATAAACCTCAACAGGAAAATAGAGGAAGCACTGGACGGCCGTTTCGTCCTATAATTGGGACTCATCAGCAGTGCCACCAGGTATCGAAACCCTGACAGTTGAGTTGTCAAGCAGACAACATACCAACTGTACCAACTAATGCTCCAGTTGGCGCGGCTTGGTGAGAGTAGTCGTGGCTCCCGGGGGCACAGTCTTATGGTTATATAGCGAACTCAGGAGAGTTCCGCCACGGAATATGTGAGTGAGCGGCGCTATGTTGAGTCTGATATGAATCTCTTCGGTGTCGAGGCCCGGTTGGTACGGTTGGTATGTTGTCTGCTTGACAACCCAACTGTCAGGGTTTCGATACCTGGTGGTGGATGCGCACTGCTGATGAGTCCCAATTATAGGACGAAACGGCCGTCCAGTGCTTCCTCTATTTTCCTGTTGAGGTTTATATCAGACTCAATGAATTTATTTATATATATATATATATATATATATATAAAATCGTCAGGCCATGGCGTCTAGCATGAGACAGCCTGTAGCCTCTAAATGTTGACCTCTATGTTCACTTGTATATATATATATGTGAAAATATATAGAAAATATGAAGGAACTGGTTAGGTAAATAATCCAAAGTCCCTTAGTATTTTAGTTAATATTTTTAAAATAGTGCTCGATACAAAAATAGAGCATAAATATAATTATTTATTTAAAAATATGATTCCAAATCGCGACATAAGAAGTCCCATGTTTCAAAAACAAACATAAAACTTCAATATAATTATTTAAATTATTTAAATTATTTAAATAAATTGAAATTAAAAAAAAAAATTTCCAAGATCAAACAGAATTCCAAAAAAATTCGCTTTATATTGAACAGTTTTCGCTCTGTTTTGAAACATGGGATTGTTATGTCGCGATTTGGAATCATATTTTTTAAATAAATAATTATATATATATATATATATATATATATATATATATAT